TGACAGATGCTTATGATCATTGTCACATGGTAGGTTTTCTTCCATGTGCATTTACAAAAATAATAACCTTCAATACTATTGATGCTTTGTTGATCATATTTGAAGCAAATTACTTTTCAAAAGTTTATGTTGAATACTGAGAGTATTATGAGAGTAAGTATAGCATTTTTTATGCATGCTGTTTACAATTACAAATTAATAACTGATGAACATAAAAACCAGTATGTGTTACTTTCTAGGGTAACTGTGCAGAGAACACAGCTTCTAAATATAGCATCTCCAGACAGGAACAGGATGAGTATGCTATCCGTAGTTATAAACTGAGTCAGGCCGCGGCTCAGGAGGGGGTATTCCAACGGGAAATCACACCTGTAGAGATACCCCAGAAGAAAGGTATCCCCAGTAACGGGTTTATCACATCTTTAATATCTATTCATGATTTGACAATAAAACATAATATTAAATATACATACAAAACTGAAGAATTTCTGAATATTGCTGAGCTCTCTTTGTATGAAAAAGACATTCTTTGCTTTGAATGCCTTTTACTAGATACAAAAGTTCAAAAAGGTATACCTTAATTATTTTCCCTTTTCAGGAGATCCAAAGGTGGTGACTGAAGATGAAGAGTACAAAAAGGTCAACTTTGACAAATTTGCATCTTTGAGAGCAGTATTCCAAAAAGATGGTATGTTTTCAACTAAAATAAACCTTTACTTTGCCACAATTGTAGGCAGATTTCAGTCTTTTAATTGTGTACGTGTTTCGAGGGGAATAACTCTGTCATTTTGCTTTTAAGGAGGCTGGGGGGTCAACAAATTAACAAAAAATTAACCACCAGATATAACTTAAATTTTTAGATATGATATCTTTAGCTGCCAACTATCATTTGACAAAGAAAAATTTCATACATATTAGTTTTAAAGTTTCATTTTTGTTTATTTTTATATGGAGCTCTTCTTCTAAAGGAGATAGAAATAGTTTAAAAATGGCCACGACCACCCAGCCTCTTTAGTGTACAATGTACTTATATTATAAAAGGTCAGAATAAAATGTTAAGAAGAAATTCACAATCAGTGAATGAATTCATAAATTCAAAAGAAGTCTACATGAAATGTTACAAATAAATTCTCAATGAGATAATCTGTTTGTTCTTTGTATAACAGGCACAGTTACTGCTGCCAATGCCAGCACACTAAATGACGGAGCCTGTGCCCTGGTCCTTATGACTGCTACAGCAGCTAACAGGCTGGGGGTCACTCCTCTAGCCAGGATACTGGGTAAGACAAGATAAATTGGAGACAAGGTGGACGGTAAAAAAAGTATCAAAATAACTTGTTATGTTAAGGCTTTCTTCATATAGAAAAGAGATAATAGTCAGCTTCTCTGATTCATAATGACACAATTCAGGTACAGTAATGATATACATGTAAGTTGCATTTAACAACAATGAAAAAGTCTTCAAATTGATAAAGCTCACTTGAAATTCAATTTAAAGGCTGATCTAACATTAATATTTCACAGGTTTTGCTGATGCAGCCAGACATCCAATAGATTTTCCAACTGCTCCAGCACTAGCCATTCCTAAGGTATGCCAAAACTTGAGGGCGCACCTTTAAAAGTCAAAGAAAACCATGCAGATTCTTAATTTTACATTCTACAGAAAGATTGGTTCTCTCTTTAATCGTACAAACTACAATATGATTGGTTCCCTCTTTAACCAGTCTAGTCGAACCCTCAAACGGGGGTATACCCCCAAACGAGGGTTTTCCTTCCCTTAATGCAACGCGCGAAAGCGGAAGTGGAATTCAAGAACGATAATTCTTCTTTTTAAAAATTTTTTTTTTTTTTTAAATCACAAACATGCAAAAATGAATCGTCTTCACTTTGTTTTCAATTTAAAATAAAAAATTAATAAATTTTCGTTTTTATTTACCTCATTTCTGAAACACAAAAGTTTGTTTACAAGACAGAGGAAATTCGGACGGGCACAGAAGAAAGTGTCAAAAAATAATAAATAACATGTTCATTACACAAAATTTGTAATACCGGGGAACGGAATTATATGTAGTTTAACTTTAAACAAAACATTGTTTGTTTATTCATCCGTTTTATTAAATTATGCAGAAAAAATCTAGTTGTATCAAACATGGAGGTCAAGGCACAGAATACGCTAACTTTGGGAGAGAAAAAGTCTCGATTTTTACAATAAACATATACTTTTTCGCAATACAATCTCTTTAAACATCTTTAATCTATCAAATTTGAGTACATACAGAGCTACGAAATAATCCATCACTTTGCATGAGCATATTTTGTGGACCACACGTTTTTCCGTGAAAACGGCACTTTTTTGAGTGTCTGCGCATGCACCGTACCCCCGTTTGAGGGTACGGATTTCCAACATCCGTTTACCCCCGTTTGAGGGTTCGACTAGACTGTTAACTGTACATTCTACAATATGATTGGTTCCTTCTTTTGTTGTACATACTACAATATGATTGGTTCCCTCTTTTATTATACAATATCATTGGTTCCCTCTTTATTGTACATTCTACAATATGATTGGTTCCCTCAGTCTGTTATTGTACATACTATAATACAATTGGTTCCCTCTTCAGGTGCTGGAGATGACAGGTGTGAAGAAAGAGGATATAGATATGTGGGAGATCAATGAGGCCTTCAGTGTAGTTGTATTGGCTAATGTTAAAGATCTGGACATTGACATGAACAAGGTCAACATCCACGGAGGTGCGGTCAGCATCGGTCATCCCATCGGGTAAGTCAGTTCATCATCATTAAAGATAGAAAATATTAGCTAATTAGAAGAAGAAAATTCAGTTTTGAGTTTATCCTGTTTGAGGCAGTTACTGTAGTCTTCATAGAAACATTTGTAAGCCAATGTACATATGAAATTCTTAACGACATTCGATCCTGATATTTAAAGTCTTAAACTTTTTTTGCCAAGTATATTTTTAGTTTCTACGTACATAGCTTCATTAAAATTCAAATCAAAAAATGGGGGTAAATGCACTTCTTTTGGCGCTACAGTACATTAAATATGACCTTATTGCACTGAAATGTGTGTCTTAGTTAAAAATTAATTTTTTGACGTTTTCCCTCCAATATTTTTATCCAATTATAGCATGAAACAAAATGAACTCTTAGTTTGTTTTAAAAAAGACACTTAAAAATTGTGACTAAGAAAAAGTTTCAAATTCCTTCGCATAATCAATTATTTGACCTTTCTGCACTAATAAAAAGTCATTTTTCTGGCATTGAATATTTAATTAACAAGAAAATTATTTTAAAGTCTTAAACTTTTTCTGATTTGAAGCAAATAGGTCAAATGTATCTTGAATATTTAGAAAAGAACATCAAAAATGGGGGTATATGATGTAAATTTTCAGATATTACTAAAAAAAGTGTCAATTTTACGTTAAAATTGGCTCAATTTTTTCCTGGATTTTCAGAATATATTTACTATATTTGTCACACTTTGTTGATAGAATTCATAAGTAATAATTAAATAGATATTTCAGAACCAGCATAATAACACATTTCACTGCAAAAAACAGCTCTGTGTGCAACCAGGATGGAAAAATAGGAATCGAAAATTAACAGTACTGTTATAGTTCAAAATGGAAAAACTGATCATTTTCGTCTAAAAAACCTTCCGCCACGAAATATGTTCCCTAGCTTAATTCTACTTGAATGGAATTTAATTGCGGTTTTTTCCATTGAATATCGTTAAATTTGCACTGTAGAATTCAGATTTAATGTAAGAACTTATAGATGATGCAGAATTTTAGAAATAAAGGACCTGACCAAAATACTCTCAAAATCTCAGGATCGAACATCCTTAAGAGACAGTTTGATGTACAATTCATAAAGCAGCAAAGTTACTGATCTTAAGAAACGAATACAGTGAAATTTGTCTATCTGGATGTTTTGTATTCCAGGATCTTTCCTAATGCAAACTTTGAGTCCCAAGTTGTTATTTCAAATGTTTTAAATGTTGTCACATCTGGAAAGCTCTTTGAATCAAGTTGTGTTCCGAATAGACAAGTTTTACAGTATAGAATATGTTAATCAAATAATGTGTTTTATATTAGGATGTCAGGAGCCCGAATCACTGGTCACATGGTCCATAGTCTGAAACCTGGCCAGAAGGGGATGGCAGGGATCTGTAATGGAGGGGGAGGGGCATCGGCCATACTCATAGAGAGACTGTAAAATAAACCAATGGAGGGCATCGATATAAAGACTGTGATATCTAAAGCAGCTTCTAAATCTCTGGTGTTTGAACAAAGTGGCATCACGAGATTATGTACAGTTTTCATGGTTCATGTACTGTCATTTTCCTGACACGAGGAAGTGTGAAATATTTTCTTAGAACTTTGATTAATAATAATGTTCATTAAAATCTTTATTTACATATCTCTGAGTATTACATGAAATTTAAGTCAGAATTGATTCCCATAATTTCTGTATGTATGAAATACATTTATACAAAATTTGTCTATTATTCTTCCTTAAGATAGCCAGTTATGTACTAATGTATTATGTTTTAGGAGGGGTGGGGGTGTGTTAGTTACTGTTAGTGCAAATATAGATGTCTTGTGTTGCAAGAATTATAAAGGCTCAATTTAAAGTAGAGTTTGTGCCAGGTAATTCAGATCATTTTTTTGTTTATAGCACAAAGATAAGAGTAAGCTACTAACCTCATGACAAAACAGTACTGTATTGTTATCAGTGTGTTATCAGTGTGTTGAACATTAATTTTGAATGTGCTATTTAATAATACATGTACATATTACATGTACAGCATGATGGTGTTACTAATTTTTATTTGGAAACTTATTCATGCAGAATAGTTTGGTTTGAATTCAAATATTTTTATGGATTGATATTACTGTTATTTCTGTCGTTTAGATGGAGTGCATGTGAATTGTTAGGAAGATTGCACTGTGTCAGGGTAGATAACTCAGTACTGTATTTCGCTAAAGTGTGTACCTTTTAATTCCTGTCCCAGTGTGGAAATGAAGCACTAATCCAGAAGATCATTTGTACATTTATTTTCTCAAGTTTCAAAAATTCACATTTGACAATCAAGATAATTGACAAAAAGAACTAGTACACTATAATATTTTGGATCCCTTGGATTACATTGTGTACGATTTTTGTGGGTTTGTCTCAGCTTTTTCCTGGTGGCTAGTGTGAAGTATAAATGTTTTATACCATACTGTTGTGACTAAATGTATCATTAAATAGGGCATAAACTTGATTGATGATTTATTTTTCTTAATTAATGATAATTACAGTAAAACATGGTTATAGACAACATGCTTATAACAAATTGACACTTACAAGTAAGTGATTTTAATTGCCAGTAACTTCAAAATATAAATGGATATGACAAATTACAAAGCAAAAAAGTATGTCCTGGCACTTTTTTAACAGCGTGTTTTAATACTGTATGGTTTTAAGTCTTACTGTATCACCCCTACTAATGTGTTCGGAACCTTTTATTTTTCGGTGTTCTGCAAATTATAAAACCCGATGAGTTCAGAGTAGCTTTGGCAGTGGCTCTGGTGAGAGTTAGCGAGACTTCAGCGAGATAGGGTAAATTATTCACGGAAACGAAGCTAGGAAGTGACTGGCACGTGGAGGCACGGTAAACAGAAAAGTTATGTTGCGTTTCAGTTTTCACCACCCTTATCAGCTGATAGTGTCTGTAGAAATGTACTTCAATCAATCGATCTCTTTTACATTCATTCAAACTTAAATAAGTATTCTCTTAGTATGATACAATTTTCTGCAGTCAATCACGAATTAAAATTTCTTTTTGGACAAATATTTTTGCATGGGAACCAGGACTATATTTTTGGCGTCAGATAAGCAAATGAGGCACCAGCATGATTTTAACTGACCAATCAGCTGAATGAGTATTGCATTGTGAGTTACTACGAATACTACAGTAATTTTACGCTTGAAAAAAAGGAAAATCTTATGGAAATGAAAAGCATTTTTAAAAATATTATTTTCATGTTCATAATGTGAAAAAATCCATTTGTTAAATAAACAGCGGAAGTCTAGGTTTCTGAAAGTCATACTGCAAAAGCGATTTGCGTCTGTATTAATTCCTTTGTTGTACTATCAGTGAATACAATTGCCAGGTGAATTCCCTGGCCGAACTCGTGATCACGAACGTAAACAAAGTTTTGTCCATTTAAATGCATAAGAGATGCTGCTCGTTTTCCTTACCCTTGAAGTGCTGGTGTTCTGAACTAGACACAAACTAGATTTTATTAATTAAACATTTTTTCCATTTAACAATGAATTAAAAACACCCGTAACATCTTTCATAGTTTCTTATCTTTGTATTTTGTTCGTAAGAACATTTTTTTTTTTTTGCAGTCCATTAACATTAACATAGATTGACTACGTGTTCGAAGTAAAATGTTAACATGTAAACGTTGCTATTCATTCATTGGTCAGTTGCTTGTGGTAAGATCCTCTGTGCACATTTATAACAATAGGCGTATAAGGCAAACAAAGGTTTGTCAGTGTTGATGATAATGCACATTTTTTACCAGCGATTCAGTCACTAGTGAGCTCAAATTTTCGCCGAAAAGTATAAGATATATTGTTATTTTAACACCCCTTCCTTTAGCCACCCTTTTTCTGTTGAAAATCGTGAAAGTCTTTCAGAAAGGTCTATAAATATTTATTACAGGACATGTTTTCAAAAGAAACAGGCTATAGCAATATCATGTTAACTGCCAATTTTATTTATAAAATCGGTTCTATCCTATAACCTTTGAATAGATCAACCGAAACCACGTGTCTTGAATCACAATAACATTAGTAGGGGTGTGTATGTAGGAAACCATGATTGCAAACAGCAGATTATCAAATATAATGCAAGTATCCTATGGCAGTCAAGTTTGCATTTTATAAAATTATAATTACTTGACACAGGAGTTTGGAAAAATGAACTACAGAGTGTGAATTTGGTATATAATGTCTTCCATCCATCTGTCCCTCCATTGCACTGGCATTAAGTGCATTTTCAAAATAACTGTTCAAGATAGAGTATAAACCAAACCTCAAACAGATACATGTACATATTCATGGGAGTTATTCAACTGTGTCAAAATTTTGTGACCTTGATTTGCAATATAACTTTGACCTCCAAATCAATTGTTTTGCATTAAGAGCATCTTTGTTCAACATATTATGTAAACAAGTACTGGTAATGTGATTTATATTTCTGAATGTTGGTAATTCCCCTTGGTAGCATTCATTGTTTTGGCTTCAGAGTGCAGAAGCCAAATTTTGTCAACAGCATTTACCTCTTTTCCTTGCATGATAAAAAAAGCATCATCAATGGTCCAAACACCGGTATAGTGCATGAGAAAATCAAGCTAGTTGGAAGTGAAACAAATAACCATTGCCTCACCTTAACCTTGTCAATGATGCAGTTAGAAAAAGGCAAAATAAACACCCAATAAAGTATAACAATTTTTATTCCACTTTGAAGAGGATTTTTTATGAGATTGGAATGTCCAGCATATAATAAATGTTAACAGACATCACAGTTTAAAAATGGATTGTAAAAACATCAGGTTAAAAAAAGAAATTGTGCATTTCTCAAGTAAATATAGCAGGACTTAAATGTTAATTTAAAATGAAAAAAGAAAAGTTTAATAATTAAAATCTTGCACATAAACTTTATCCATCCTTTCACTTTTCAATAAAATTTATGTTTCACTATTATGATAGGTCTGATTAAAATTTCTTATATCAATTAATATTACATTAAAATAATTTGTATATTAAAGACAATACATGTACACACATTCTGATAAAGTGTAACCAGCACTTGATTTAAATTGGAAGTCAACCATTCACAGAAGCAAACAATGTCTGCATCCTATAATATATTTACATGTTTTCTGTACAAATTTTATGAACACAATTAAAATACAAAAAGAATTTTTTTCCACATAAATAAGCACCAACAATACATATAGTTTGGAATGCTGGTAATAAAATATATACAAAATAATTATCTACAAGAATGCCATTATAAATTATGCAATTGTATTTATAACATTTGCTGCCATATTTCAGAACAATCAATGGTATAAACAAGGTTAAATGTAATCATATGGAAGGTCAAAGGTCATAACCTCACACATCACTTCCTCTTATATAACTGGGAAGATGTCGAAAGTTATTATAAGTCTGGTTAGCCTGATAGCTGTGGTATTGTGGGTTATGCTGCTGGTACTGATGATTCATGTTGTGGGGACTATATCCTGGAGGGTTGTAATTTTTGTCCTTGGGCCCTTCATTATACGGTCCCTCTTGTAATCTCACAGCTGCCTCCTTCAGCTTCTTTTGATACCACCCCTCCACGTGAGCCTGTAGGTTTTGTCCATGGTTAACAGCCTGTGCTATGTCTTGAATCTGTTCGTAGTCATCATGCGTGGCAGCTGGGTGGGGGGAGTGGTTGTTACTAGATGCAGACAAACTGTGGTCATGGTCAGTACTGAATGATGAGGAAGGAGTCCCACTGTTACTGGGGACATTTCCATTATTAGCCCTGGAGCCGAGGATTTTACTACTGTACCCTGAGTCTGGGTTACTACTAGAATCCTCTTTATTGTAGGCGTTTGGGTAGTTAGACACAGCCTTTGGACTGTTAGCACTGCGTAGGATAGCTGGAGAGGCATTCAACATGGTTCTACGAGGAGTTGTGAATCCACCCTCATCATCGCTGTGGTCTCCTTTGTCCAGTAGATTAGACTCAGACTTACTGAGCGAGTACTGACCCTGGGAGACTGGGTTCACAAGGTACGTGCTGTGAGGTTTTCCCATTGGTGAGCCATTACCATAGCGATAGGAAGAGACATCCCTCACAGAGGCGTAAGGATTTTCTCTGATGTTCCCATGGGTTCTGTATGGTCCACCTTTCTTATCAAAGTCAATAGCACTTCGTCGTCCCTCGTATGGACCTTTCATTGTCATATACACACTCTCTGTCTGTGCACCTCTGTTTGGAACTGGTTGGTTTCCATATTTCAGGAGAGGGGAATTTCTAGCTTCACTTGAGTACTGATTCATAGATGGATTAATATTTGGTCTAGAGCTAGGTCTAGGTTGAGGCTGTGGTCTCTGCGAGGGTATTTGGGACTTATCACTAATGTGAGGGTTACTTGCAAAAGAGGTCGAGGGTGGATGGAATTTTTTCAGGTCATGAGCTGATGTGATATCACTGTCCAAGAGACCTTCAGATGACCTTGCCCTTTGTCTAACAATAGGCTTCTCGGACATTGACACATACAAGTCATCTCTTGGTGTCTCATTTCCTGGATTGGACTTGTTAATCTTATTTGGTTTTGGATATTCAGTTTTTACTGCAGCGAAGTAGCTGTAGGTCTGTTTATTATCTAGTTCATCATGTGGTGTTCGAGATCTATTAGGTAATTGAGCATAAGGACTCTCAAGCTCAATGTTTGAACTAGGTCTTGGTGTGGACGCTTGGAGGACATTGTCTGAAGTGGAATTTGGCACAGAAGTGGAAGGGTGTGGTTTGTCACTAGGTTTGGTGTTATCGTAACCGAATGTTGTGAATGTCGGTTTTGGGGGGATAAAGGGACGGTCGGAACGGCCGGAGCTGGGTCGGGAGGAATCCTGGGGGCCCTGACCAGCTCCGACGGAGGACACGCTAGAGTTTAGA